AGGATGGAGAAGATTAAGACGGATTGCAAACGGTGAGCTTGAAAAAAATTGCCAATTTTTTTCAAGATGTCGCCATCCGTGACGTAGCTCCTTTCGGTTCTTCCAAACGGTGAATTGATATATTTGTTTGCGCTCAATATTTACTATTTAGCTTGTTTTATTTGACATAAATCAATTGGGCTCCTGTTTATTTGGATAAACCAACCCCAATTTTCTCGACCGTTTTATCTTATATTGCAAGAAATTGTGCAAATCATGTGTTAAATTTCGTTCTCTGCTTCGCTCGAACTTCTCGCTCGGAGCGAGCAACCACGTGTGCATAAATTCTCACGTTGGTCGATCGATAGGCATTGTGGGATATTTTTATGCAAATGTTCGGACGTTCAAATTTCGGACAATACTGAGTGTCCGAAAATTCAAACGTTCGATCTCCGAAAAAATGATGCATCCGAAAATTAAAAACGTTCAGTTTTTAACAGTATACAATACTACAGTGCATCGCCACTTCGCCGCTTACGAATTTTGCATTTCATTTTGAGGCCAAGTGCGCAGTTTTCGAGTTCCTAACTCGGGATGATTCCATTACGCCGGGGAAAATTGGTCAGTACTAAAGAATAGTTTTATACGCTGAATTATTATTTTAAATATGGACTAAATTTCTCTCAGTATTATTTGAGAAGCATTCAAAACAAATTGATTGGGGCGGGGAAAAGGAAGAAGTGTAAAACAGCTATCGTGTTTATAGCTCTGCTGGCTGTCTGAGTGATAAGGCAAGGCAGATCAAGATTACAAACTCGTGCTTGCGGAAGTACCGTACAACTGGTTTTATTCAGTGTACACTGAACTTGAAGTCAACTGGAACTCAGCTCAGTACTAGTCAACTGCACTATCAATCACCAGCAGCTTACATTAAATGAGGCTCTCTGGGGCGGATCTAGGATTTAATGAAGGGGGATCGAGAAAAGGACCGCCGGAGGCGGGAGTTTCTAGGGGGGGGGGGGGGGGGGGGGTCTAAGCCTCGGAAATGCGATTTCCAGCCAATTTGAAGGGAAATTTGAAGTTTGTTTTTGTTATGAGTTCGTCAAAATTATCTTGCGCTCAGCTAGAAAAAAATAAAAATAAAAAAACAAGATTATGCAAAAAATTGACAATAATCGAGGTGGATTTTTGTCGTTTAGAAATTCTAGATTTGTTTTCAAAGGTATTCTCAGTTTGATGTACTCATCACGAACTTATTAGATGCTATATTTAATTATTTTATCACATACACAGATAGGCTCAAGCAGAAGCAGTAAAAAAGGAACAATTTTAGGTAAATATATTTTGTGGGGGTATTCGACTTCAACGAGTTTAGGGGGTTCGACCGAACCCTCCCTATATCCGCCCCAGGCTCTGACGTATTCACTTAATTACAAACAATTCACACTGCATAAATTATGAGCATCGCATACTGAGATCAACAAGCTATGAATAAATTGACATTGCTTAACAACGCCTCCGGGAACATGCCTGTGCCTTTCCCCGCCGAATTTTTATCAGAGACGGCTACACTACCCTTCGACCTGACTACAACGGCGAGGGCTCATTCGGTTGAGCGTGGTCATGAATCACTGGAGACAAATCCCTCTCTATTACCCCTTATATATAGGTGGATATCAGGGGGAATTTTTGTTGAGAAACATCCCTACCACTGGGTCAAGATTAACTAAGTTTACAATTCCCCTGGTTGTCCCGGGGGTCTACCCCAGGGGCAAGCTGATGACATGTGCAATTTGCTTTCATTTCTTATCCACAAAACATTTTTTTGACCATAATAAGACAGTCTTCTGCATCAACAATACTCATCATCAAAACATGTAGCAACTTCCTGTCTACCTACCTGAGAAATTAAGAATTCTCTGACCAGATATTAAATTCTCCGAATCTTCCCTGATACCATGAAAAGAAAATTGCTGGCTTTTTCGCGACCTGAAGCAACCATGCAAGAGTAGCTCTACAACTGCATATTAAGTTATTTTTGTTTTAAATCATTAGCAGTGTCTCGATCCTGTCAACCCTCATCCATAAAGTTCATGCCTCTGGGTTTAAAAATTATGTCAGACAAGAAATTTGACAAGAAATTTGTGTGCAATAATATTATTACACACAAATTTCTGATACTTGGCTAAAATTCCATAAAATCCACTGTGTGACCAAGAAAGGAATATGTTTCAAATAAAATAATGGGATTAGGAAAAGGATATTCCAAGAAATCACATTCCTTGATCCAAAGTGGCATATAAAACATTTAATAATTATTTTAAATAATTATGTTTAAAATGCTTTCCATGATTGCTTTACAAATTATCTATCGCAAAATCCGGGCGCAAAATAGCTTGTCCATTCAGTACAAGTCAATGATCTAACAATAAAACTAGTCACATCAATCTATTTATTAGTTGCTAAAAGAAAATGAAGCACATGCCATCGCGTTGTAGTCGATCGCAACAGCCACAGAGTAGGTTCGATCGATCGATCGATCGAAGATAAGCTTACTATTCCTTCACTTGCCGTGCTGTTTACTCACATAATATCTAATAGTCCTTCCTTCTTTCAATGGCAAAATCTCCCATGTAGATATAAATACCGTGAAAATTGAAAGATTCGATTTCAAACGTTTCCTCTCGAAACATTCACAACAAAAATGGCGTCCAAAGCTGTTTCGTTCCACGCGTGGAAATCCGGCATTCTCGCGAGTGTCGCGTATCGGAAGTAATTTTGATTGGCTATTTAGAAGTCATGTCAATCAATGTCGATCCATCACGAAAAGGGGGCGGAAGGCATCTCGTTAAGGAATTGTGTCAGGCTTAATTTTCAGCGCGACCACGTAAAGACGAAGAGTAAAAGAGAGCGCGGAAAAATTCGCCTGATACTCAGGTTTTATTTGTGCATGCGGGCTTGCTTACGAGTTTGATTTGTGCCTGAGGGCCGCTTACGAGTTTTATTTGTGGCGACCATTATAATCTATTTATACACTTTAGATGTCTACTATACGTCTAACGTCAAGTGTCTATCAGGTGTATATTCTCTGTGTCTATTGTATATAAAAATTTAATGCGCCATGCTTAAATTGCATTCATAACTGCGATGATCACTTATTCATTTAATTTCTTTTCCGCTGTTCACATATATGATTTAATTCATATATTCATCATCGCAGTAATTATGTGCTTTCATAAATAAGCAAACTTTTCTTTCTGCAGGGGATACAAGGAAACGAGGCTAAATATCAGGAGGATAAAGAAACAAAAGATGAGGTTGATTTCACTCAGTGTTGCAGATTCAGTATGAAAGTTGGCAGCCTCGGTTTCGTCAATGGAAAAAGGAATACACAAATCGTCGTGTAAAGTTTTATAAGTTACGCGTCATTTAATCAATATTAGTTTAATACTAATTTTGATGGAATGACGCGTAACTTGTAAAATACATTGATCCTCGTGGGCCCCACAATAACATTTCGCAGACTTCGCGCCTTCGTTGACTATCCCTTATCAAGTGGAAAAGGCAACACAAAGGATGACAGCCGGAGCGGCCTACAATACAATTTCTAAGGTAGGATCTATTTAGCATGAGCAAAAATGTTTCATGTGCAATCTTAAAGTATGATTTTTTTAAATTAAGAACTATAGTTCAAAAAACCGGCGTGTGAGCCGCACCTTTTCCAAGAAATTTCATTCCAAATTGAGGGTGCGGCTGATCTGTGAGAACATCTATAAAAGGGTCTGTAAAGTTTCCCCATTCAACAATTTTTACGCTAAAACAATAAGCTTAAAGGAGCTATGTCACGATATTTTGAGTCATTTTGCGAAGTATTGAGAATCATCTTCAAATTGAAGAAAGCCTCAAAATAATAGTTTACTTAGGTACTGAAAAACACCAAACAGGTAATAATAAACCAAACAGGAACAAGGATGGTTGAGGATGGAGAAGATTAAGACGGATTGCAAACGACGAACTTGAAAAAACGTGACGTAGCTCCTTTAATACGTACTGTATACAAAACAAATATAAGAGAGTGAGACTGGTTGTTTGCAGTGTTGCCGAGGACTATTTGTCGAACTTGTTCTCAAACCCCCTTCGAGCAATGAGTAATTGCTCCTATGGATGGCTTCCAGACATTCTTGAAGACGTGATAACGTACACTGAAGAGAGCTCATAGCTCTTACAGTTACAGTAGTACATGGAACCAATCTGTAAAAAGAAATACAAGTTATAGAGTTGAAACCCATTTTTATTTGTTTTCTAGAACATCAATATACCCAAACGGAGGTCAGTATACTCGGCACTGTTGATGTGGGAAATTTTTTTAGAAGCGCGTCGAACGCACGCCGGGGACTATATTTATTCCGGCTATACATAAAGATACAACTACAACGTATTATGCAACAAATGCTTGGATTGGTTTTGTTCGAAAAGACACCAAGTTACAGGTCTGTAGTCCCATTTGGTTTTAGTTATTCTCTTCAAGAGTAATTAGTATCGTTTCATAAATAAGCAAACTATCAATCTCCGTTTCTGATTTTCTTTCTGCAGATGAGACAAGACGAGGACAAGGCGGAGGATGAGGATGCGGTATGTACATTTTTTGGTTTTAGCTATTCTGTTCAAGAGTAATTAGTGTCGTTTCATAAATAAGCAAACTATCAATATATCTCCGTTTCTGATTTTCTTTCTGCAGATGAGACAAGACGAGGACAAGGCGGAGGATGAGGATGCGGTAGGTACATCTTTTTGGTTTTAGCTATTCTGTTCAAGAGTAATTAGTATTAAATGAATAATTGATCATCGCAGTTATGATTGCAATATTAGCCAGAATGTTTTTTGTTTTCTGGCTAATATTGCAATTTTTACATTGCAGTCAACTGCGATGATGATTTCATTCATTCATATATTCATCATCACATTCATTCGCTATCACGATCCGGTGTATTGAACTCCCAATTGACCTGCTCCCAATGTGTGGTTTCATAGCTTAGTTGTTAGAGCATCGCACTAGTAACGCGGAGGTCATGGATTCAAATCCCGTTGAAGCCAGAATTTTTTTTTCTGGCTTATATTGCAATTGCAGAAATTGCATTCATGACTGCGATGATCACTTACAGTGTACTCATTTCATTTCATTTCATTTCCGTTAATTGTTCACATATATGATTTCATTCTTCATATATTCATCATCACAGTAATTATGTGCTTTCATAAATAAGCAAACTTTTTCTTTCTGTAGGGGATACAAGGAAATGAGGCTAAATATCAGGAGAATAAAGAAGCAAAAGATGATGATGAGGTTGATTTCACTCACTGTTGCAGTTCCAGTATGAAAGTTGGCAGCCTCGGTTTCGTCAAGGACTCCGGACGGAATACGCAAATGACCGTGTAAAGTTTTGAAGGTTACGCGTCATTTGATCACAATTAGTTACATTGATCCTCGTGGGCCCCACAATAACATTACTGCAGACTTCGCGCCTTCGTTGATTACCCCTTATCAAGGGGAAAAGGCAACACAAAGGATGACAGCCCGTCTGAGAGCGGCCTACAATGCAATTTCCAAGGTAGGATCTATTTAGCATGAGCAAAAATGTTTCATGCATGTGCACTCTGCAAATAAATGAATTGTAAATTGTATTGTCTAAAAGCAGGATTTTAATTAAGAACTACAGTTGTTACTGTAAACACCGGCATCATGGTAAGCCGCACCTTTTACCCAGAAATTTCATTCCAAATTGAGGGTGCGGCTTATCTGTGAGAACATCTATAAAAGGGTCTATAAAGTTTCCCCATTCAACACTTTTTAGACTAAAACAATAAGCTTAATACGTACTATACAAAACAAATATAAGAGATTGAGACTGGTTGTTTGCAGTGTTGCCGAGGACTTAATATGATGGCAACTGAAATTTGTCGAACTTGTTCTCAAACTCCCTTCGAGCATGAGTAATTGTCACCTATGGATGACTTCCAGACATCCTTGAAGACGTGATAACGTACACTGAAGATAATTCAAGCTTCTTCATTTGACAACTGACTTGTCCCCAGTCGCCTCCACCGTAAACCACAATACTATTTTCCTCGCCCGGGCCTGACGCGAGAAGGGGCCGATGGAATGCCTGGTTACTAAGCTCTTTTGCGTTGACACGCAAACTTCCTTCAAATACTAACTTGAATGAAGATATGATGACAAAAGACTTCCATGGAGAGAACAATTATTTGCCTAAGTTGAAATTACTGTACATGTAAAAAAACAACTATTAAAACACGATCGACACGAACGTTTGATGATCTTGCAAACTTTGAACACTTGATTTGATTGACAGCTTTCACCTTTCTCGATGTAGTATGGTGTATGGTGTAGTGTATAGGTCAAGTCAATATTCCCTGATAAGACATACTGTTTTACAATGAACATTTATATTATTTTCACGACTTGTTAGTTACAGTTGTACATGGAACCAATCTGTAAAAAAGAATACAAGTTATAGAGTTGAAACCCATTTTTATTTGTTTTCTAGAACATCAATATATTTAGGCCTGAGACAAAGGCATTTAGAAAGAACCTTTATGTACCTCCAGAACCCCGTGGAGCAACCGGGATAGTAAAAGTTCTGGCTTCCACCAAAAATCGTTAGAACAATATACATGGGGTGGGATACTCAAAAAGGAAGTAGGCTTCACTGTTGTGGGAACATTCAGTTTTAGAAGCGCGTCGAACGCACGGGACCATATTTATTCTATACTTAAAGATACACTTATATAACTTATTATCCCCCTACGGTCTACATAGTCCAATTGGGTTTTGTTGTTCTGTTCAAGAGTAATTAATATCGTTTTTATGAATAAGCAATTCAAACTATCAATCTCCGTTTCCGATTTTCTTCCTGTAGACGAAAGAAGACGAGGACAAAGGCGGAGGATGTGGATGCGGTAGGTACATCTTATTGGTTTTAGATATTCTGTTCAAGAGTATAATTAGTATGTTTTCATAAATAAGCAAACTTAATCAATCTCCGTTTCTGATTTTCTTTCTGCAAGAGAGACAAAGAAAGAAGGATGAACATCAGGCGTGCGCGGCAGCAAATGATGATTATGAGGTGGATGAAGATGCGGTAGGTACATCTGTTTGGTTAGCTATTCTGATCAAGAGTACTTAATATGCTTTCATAAATAAGCAAACTTAATCAATCTCTGTTTCTGATTTTCTCTCTGCAGGAGAGACAAGAAAAAAGGATGAATATCAGGAGTGCGCGGCAGCAAATGATGATTATGAGGTGGATGAAGATGTGGTAGGTACATCTGTTTGGTTAGGCTATTCTGATCAAGAGTACTTTTATGCTTTCATAAATAAGCAAACTTAATCAATCTCTGTTTCTGATTTTCTCTCTGCAGGAGAGACAAAGAAAAAAGGATGAATATCAGGAGTGCGCGGCAGCAAATGATGATTATGAGGTGGATGAAGATGCGGTAGGTACATCTATTTGGTTAGCTATTCTGATCAAGAGCAATTAGTATGCTTTCATAAATAAGCAAACTATTAATTCTCCGTTTCTGATTTTCTTTCGGTGGAGGAGACAGGATGAGGTAGTATTTGGAGCCATTAGGTAGCATTTTTTTGCCATCCCAGCCACCTGGTCCTCTATACGCCAGAGAACCTCCGATCCTCTATAAGCCAGAGATCATTTTCTCACCGGCTTCAAGGATATATATATATATATATATATATATATATATATATATATATATATATATATATATATTATATATATATATATGAAATACACCTTATAAATGAATTGTTAGTTAAGTTGTACATGGAACCAACCTGTAAAAAGAGATACAAGTTATAGAGTTGAAACCCATTTTTATTTGTATTCTAGAACATCAATATCATGTGGCCGGAAACAAAGGCATTTAGGAATAGCTTGAAATCGCCACCAGAACCTCGTGGAGCCACCGGAGTAGTAAAGTTGTGGGTTCCACACAAAATCTTTAGAAGAATATACATGGGGTGGAATATTGAAAAAGTTTATCCAAATGGAGGTAGACTTAATTGCTGTGGCAAAATATTTAGGCGCACGGATCATATTTATTATGTACATAAAGAACACATAGAATGTGTTATGCACCAAATGCTTTGTATAGGTAATCGCATGGGCCCGAGTGCAATTAGGGATTAATTTCACGAGTATTTTCAAAGTTTTTACAAAATTGCCCGAGTCGCGGCATGTCGGGACATGAGGGCAATTTTGTAAAAACTTTGAATAGATACAAGTGAAATTAATCCCTAATTGCAGCGAGGAGAATAACTGCGATTACTTGTTTTATCACATAAAGGGCAAAATTTTCGAAGAAAATCCTTCATGGGGTGTCGTGCTGCGGCGTAATAAGTTCTTAGCGCCTGCGGAAAGGCGATAAATAAAATTTCCTTTCTAAAATCACGCAGAATCACAGCAAGATCAAGCAAACCTCTTATGTTCAGAACAGGATAACGCTGACTGTTAATATGTAATTCTTGTAGTAGAAAAATCTAGGTCGTGAAAAAAAAAATAACAAGCTTTATAGCAGCTCAATCCAAGCGCAAGTACGTCTGTTTGAATGTTTTGAAGGCTTTCCGGATCCGCTGCATGCGAGCTGCTTGACATGTAGCAATCCTACATCGATAAAACAGCAAACGATGAGTCCAAACAAACTTGTAGAGGTCCCTTCTCCGTTTTAATCTGAACTTCTTCTGCTTTGCAAAAAAAACTTTGTGCTATTTACTCTGTCCTTGCTACGTGATGAAGGCCGTATTTAACAGCAGTGGAAGCGAAGATTCAGTTGGCCGGCCATGAATGAATTTCGTCGGCAACTAGCCAAGTGTCTAGCTGATGCACGTTTTCTGACTTTTCAGTTGAAATAATCTTCTGTTGTTTCGAGTGAAACACCGGAGGATTCATCTTTCGGAATTTTGGGGTTTCTAAGCTATCCACGCGGTTTCCATTCCTTTTTCATCAAACTGAAGTCAAACTCCGAAGGGAAGTACAAGCGAGGGCCCCCCCTGTGTTTTAAAATTCTGCTTCAAACTCCTCCCGTCAAGAAGCCAACGCAGTGACAGCTCCGCTCACGCAATTAGGAGCGAGTATTTTTGCCGCTCGACCAACTCAGGATGCAAGTATGCATGCCCTTGATTACGGTCAAAAAGTGCCCTTGATTAAGAAAAAATTGTCCTCTGTCTTATGGCCAATCAGAATTCAGTAATTTTGCCGGCTATGTGATAAACAATTGTAATTCAGAAAAGTAATATGCTTTTCCAGTCGCCTTGGGTGAAACCATAGTTAATAGAGGGAAATGGTTATGAAGCCTGGCAAAAAAACCTGGGAGTTCTTTGTCATATGTTTTTGGTTCGCTATTTTGGGGTTGACCGTG